TTTTAAAATTATTGCACTAAAACACAATTGCAGCTTACTATTACATAGAGTAGCCTAAATATATATATATATATATATATTGACCACTAGTGTGACTGTTCATTGAAAGAAACAGAAAATTGATTTTGTGTTATAATAGCACAAAATAACAGCAGTTATTCTGTTTAGCCATTTAAATTTGGGTTACAGCAACACATTCTGGCTAGTAAACATTTTCCAGACACACAGAGAACAAAGTTTTAGGATTCTGAAAAATATATAACAAAGACATTTCTAGATCACTGTCCAAATGTTAGCAAAGCTGCGACAGTGATCATCTGCATTCATTCGTACAGATCGTCAGATGCTTTCACATCCATTAAATCACAAGATGTTTGTTTATTTCCCGCTGGATCACATGATAATCAGGTTTCACACAAACGTGTAGAATCTACTATAAAACACTACAATGACACCAAATATTATTACATTTTACTGTTGCTTGAGTGTGGTCGAAATCCAGCCACTTCAGTAGGAATCCATGTGACTGAGAAAAAAATGTCCCCGCGCTGATTTCACAACAGAATCAGAAGCCGGTCACGTCAATTTGCTGTGTTGACCCACAGAAAGCTGCTTGGTTTGAAAGTGATTTCTGTGTGAACTGTGCTTCATTATCACTGCACTATTAACAACAGACCTATTTTGCTTGTGAAATTTCACTAATGATAACCTTCATCCATCCTAAACCCTACAAGAACAACTCGCTGAACGTGATTTGAGCAGGTTTACACCAATGACAAAAAAAATTTAAATAAAATAAAAAAGAATTCTAACCTACAAATACAAAAAGAAAACACATTCACTCAAGAAGTTTTTTTTGTAAATTGTATTTCACTCCGTTTTGATCCATTAGTGGTTACATGTATTCACACAGTCAGAGATAAAAAAGGTCATTCTAACAGGAAAACAGCAGATGCATCTCATCGGGCATCAAATACAACCACTGGACACAAGAGTTAAGGGTAAATACAAAGAACACAGGAAACAAAAGTTACAAAATAACTCAAATCAAATTAAACTGTAAACAGGACTATAATG